TAAACAAAATATTGCAGGAGTACTATATGTTTTAAGCATCTTTTTATTTTAAGTAAAACAAAAACCTTGTGTTTGTGTCCTTTATAGAAGAGAAGAGATGGGATTTATACCCCGCCTTTCACTACCCAAAGGTGTCTCAGAGCAGCTTACAAACTCCTTCCCCTTCCCCTCTCCACAACAGACACCCTCTGAGCTAGGTGGGGCTGAGAGAGCTCTTGACAGAAACTGCTCTTTTTCAAGAACTGCTCTTATCAGAACTACAGCTTGCCCAAGGTCATCCAGCCAGGTGCAAGTGGAGGACTGGGGAATCAAACCCGGTTCTCCCAGATTAGAGTCCGCGCACTTAACCACTACACCAAACTGGCATAAGGTTTATAAAGTTTATATCTCTGCTACCTGGCTTTACATTTTATGACACACATAGCCCAGCCCAACAAGGTCTCGTTTATGTCAGATCCGGCCCTCCTAACAAATGAGTTCGACACCCCTGACTTAACTTTTCCAGGAACGTCATCCTGCTATTTGGTTCTGCAGAAGAATGGGTTACAAAGCTTGAGGGCCAGAGGGAATTATCTCATGGACTAGATGGGGAACCCAGGCAGTCATTTGCCCACCTTCAGTTGAATCTATCTTTCACTGGTTAGATCTGCTGGGTCTCTCCAGAGAGGCATTTGTAATGCAAATTAGCATTCTGGCCCATGCCCAATTTTTTTTTCCCATTTGCATTACAAAGTTCTTGAAACTCGATCTAATCTTTTAGGCTGAATCAAATGCCAGTCATCTTTGCCTCTTACACCCCATTTCCCCTCTCTACTGGCTAGGGCCTGATAATTCTTCTGTTCCTTCTTGTTATCCCTCTGTTCTCAGGTGCATTCTCCATTTTGACTTTCTCTGTGTAATGTGAAAAGGACACACGCGTCTCCTACATGCAACCGTTTACGTAGTACATGATGGAAATATGTGTGGGTTGCAAGGTCTAATTCAGTCATTATAGGGTTAATCTGTTTACCGTGTGTGCTATTGTTTAGACTGACCCGGAAGGGAAACCTGCCATATAGCCAAATAGCCCGGGAAATCTAAGTCTGTTTACTCACAATCATTGGTTAATGTATTCAGGTGATTTCCTTCTAGGGGTCAAGAAGAAGAAGAAGAATCTCCATTGCATTGGTCATTGTGAGACCGTGTGGTTGGTCTGTTCTGCAGCTGTAGAGATACAGCCTTAGGTCTTTACATAAGAACCTAAGAGACGCCAATGTTGGATCAGGCCAAAGGCCCATCCAGTCCAACACTCTGTATCACACAGTGGCCAGAAATACCAGGTGCATTCAGGAAGTCCACCAGTGTTGTTTTGTAGATTTTCCCGTACACTCTTCCCTTAGAAATAAAGATTTTTACACAGAAAGAAATGCCTCCACTCCAGTGAAGCAAAGATCCATTGCAAACTCTGAATATCTAAGTATTTTTGCCAATTTTTCCAACAGTACATTCAATTTGAACTGCCTGTACAAGTCTAAATGCTTCCTGACACCCGATTGGGAATCCCATGCCCATTGTAAACAGGAAGAAGAAGAGAAGAAGAAGAGATTGGATTTATACCCTGCTCTTCACTACCCAAAGGTGTCTCAGAGCGGCTTACAAACTCCTTTCCCTTCCCCTCCCCACAGCAGACACCCTGAGAGGTAGGTGGGGCCGAGAGAGCTCTGACACAAACTGCTCTTTTTTCAAGGACAGCTCTTAGCAGAACTACGGCTTGCCCAAGGTCATCCAGCCAGGTGCAAGTGGAGGAGTGGGGAATCAAACCCGGTTCTCCCAGAGTAGAGTCCACGCACTGAACCACTACACCAAACTGGCTCTCAGGAAGTTCTAGGTAAACAGGTTGCACTAAACAGCACAATCTTGTAGCATCCTCAAGATGAATGTTTTTATCAGGCCATGAACTTTCACAGACTAGACGCACAAACTGTTCCCCTCTATGGACAGATACAAACACACTTGCCGAGAGAGCGGCCAAAAGGCTGCGCGACGGAAGAGGTACAGGAAGTCTGTGCTTAGAAATGTCGGGAGTTCAAATCTATACTAGATAAGGACGGTGACAATTGGTCATGGTGCTTATCTTGTACGTGCCTGCGTTTTTGCAGAGGCCCGGTGCATAGACTCACTGCACCTCTTTCATCCTGTGGCCTTTTGGCCTCACTGTTCCCATCCGTGTACTTATCTGTCGATAAAGGAGGAACGGTCTGTGCACGTTTTGATGAAGCCGTTCTCTAGTTCACGGGATAGCCAGTCTGCAGTCTTTAAATTGTCCTTTAAACAGCATGATAAAAAGTAGAGACATCACCCTGCCAACAGAGGTCCGCATGGTCAAAGCAATGCTATTCCCAGTAGTCATGTATGGCTGCGAGAGTTGGACTATAAGGAAGGCCGAGCGCTGAAGAATAGATTCTTTTGAACTGTGGTGCTGGAGAAGACTCTTGAGAGTCCCTTGGACTGCAAGGAGATTGAATCAGTCAATCCTAAAAGAAATCAACCCTGACTGTTCCCTGGAAGGCCAGAGACTGAAGCTGAAGCTCAAAGACTTTGGCCACCCAATGAGAAGGGAGCACTCCCTGGAGAAGACCCTGATGCTGGGAAAGACTGAAGGTCAAAGAAGACGGGGACGGCAAAGGATGAGATGGTGAGATAGTGTCATCGATGCAGCGAACATGAAGTTGAGCCAGCTTCAGAGGACAGTGGAAGACCGGAAGGCCTGGCGTGATCTGGTCCACGAGGTCGCGAAGAGTCGGACTCGACTGTGTGACTGAACAACAAAAAAACACTCAATAGCGTAAGCAGATTGGATTGGAGCCTGATATGAAGTTTGTTGTTACCTAGTTGGAATATAGGAGCTGCGGTGGCTCAAGTGGTTAAGACGCTGAACTGCAGGCTGTGGAAGGTCGGTAGTTCAGCAGTTCGAGACCCGAGTGTGCCGCATGACGGAGTGAGCTCCCGTCTCTAGTTCCAGCTCCTGCCAACCTAGCAGTTCGAAAGCAAGAAATTGCAAGTAGATAAATAGGTACCACTTCGGTGGGAAGGTAACAGCGTTCCGTGCGCCTTGGTGTTTAGTCATGCCGGCCACATGACCATGGAAACGTCTTCGGACAGCGCTGGCTCTTCGGCTTGGAAACGGAGATGAGCACCGCAACCCTAGAGTCGGACTCGACTGGCTTTCGAGCAAGGGAACCTTTACCTTTTTTAAGGTGCTGCTGGACTCTTGCTCTTCCCTACTGCTGCAGACAGGCTAACACGTTGACCCGTCTTGGACATACAAACACTTTCCAAAGGGATGCTCTGGGCTGATCCTGCACTGAGCAGGGGGTTGGCGTAGATGACCTGTATGGCCCCTTCCGACTCTGCTTCGATGCCAGGGATCCAAGGTGTGGCACGAGATGGAAAGGTATACGTGTTTGCGTGTCTTCTGGCAATCGTTCCCAAAGTGCGTTCAGACGGGCAGCTAATCCCGCCATTGTGCCAGTTTGAATTTTATCCCGATCTTTTTAATTCATCGTCACACGACCAGACACCCCCCTGGTGAATCGCCTTACCACGCGCTGCCTCTGTTGTGGATATTCTAGACGGCATCCACTGAAGGAGGCATGCGCGGTGGGTTTTTTTTAACTTTTTGCGCGTGCGCATAGACGTCACAGCAGGTCCTTGTTCATCCGCGCATGTGTAGAGATTTTTTTAAAATGGCGCCCGCTCGGGATGGTCTGACGTCAGACCACCCCGACGGGAGGATTGCGTGCTGGTGGAACGATCAGACGGATGAAAGCCCACAGTTGTCCCGCAGGTAACCGAAAACCCCAGGTTTAAAGTGCTATCTTTTAAGTATGGCTCCGAAGCGCAGCAAAACGGGATGCCCACGGAAGAGGGACATTTCCCAAATGTTTGTGTCTGGACATTACCTTTCGATCCGTGAGGCAATCGTGCCTCACACGGATCTAAAGAGCCGCCTGATCGGACTCTCAGCCATTCATTCGGCCAAGGGCAGCGAGTGGGAAACCCGGCATAAGCTCTAAAAGGATAGCGGTCAACGAAAGGTATCACATCAAGGACTGGGTTCTCAATGTATGTCCCCATTGCTGAGACTTGAGATTATACCCCCAGTGAGGAGGAAGGGCACAACCATTTCATGTATTCATAGAATCACAGAATCACAAAGTTGGAAGGGACCTCCAGGGTCATCTAGACCAACCCCCTGCATAAGGCAGGATATTCACAAATACCTCCCCGCACCACCACCCTCCCCAAGTGACCGCTGTTCCATGCCCAGAAGATGACCAAAAAAAAACCCTCCAGGATCCCCGGGCAAACTGGCCTGGAGGAAAATTGCTTCCTGACCTCAAAGTGGCGATCAGCATTTCCCTGGGCGGGTAAGAAAGGACCACAAGCCCTGAGGCAGCCCTTCCTGCCCTCCCTCTCATGATCTGCCCAAGTTCACAGAATCCACATGGCTGTCAGATGGCCATCTAGCCTCGGTTTGGAAACCCCCAAAGAAGGAGAGCCCACCACCTCCCGAGGAAGCCTGTTCCACTGAGGAACCAACCGCTCTGTCAGGAAGTCCTTCCTCATGTTTAGCCAAAACCTCTTCTGATTTAATTTCAACCTCTTGGTTCTGGTCTGAACGTCTGGGGCAACAGAAAAACAACTCCGCCCCGTCGTCTCTGTGACAGCCTTTCAAGTACTTCCTCGCCTGCTCTACCCAACTGCTTCCAGGAATGAATTGTATCCACATCGATTTATTGATTTATTTACATGCAGCCCAGCCTCCTCCCCCATAGGCAAGCTCCCCGAAGCGGCTTGCAACATCGACGTCCCCTCTTCTGCTCCATCCTCACAACAACCCTGCGAGGTAGCTTAGGCTGAGAGAGAATGGATGCCCAATGGTCACTCGGCGAGCTTCTGTGACAGAGTAGGGGGATTCGAACCTGGATGTCCCGGATCCTGGTTCGGCGCTTTAACCTCTAGGCCGAGCTGCTTTGACGGGGAACGAAACGGAGCTTATAGGGGTGTTGCCGTGGAGACTGCTGTATGCCGTTGAGGTTTAGGTCCGGCTCTCCCTCCGGCAGCTGGATGACAAATGCGCGGATCAGGGTGATGAAGAAGACGAAGAACTCTACCCAGGCCATGTGTTCTCCCAGGCACCCGCGGCGCCCTGCGAAAGAAGCCAAGGAGTAGAATTATTCCTGCAAGTGCTTTGGGGCGGGAAAAAAGGTCTTTGGTTGAATCTGCATTTGCATTTTCAAATCAGTTTCGTGCTGCTGCGATGCCGTCTTTCTCTATGCTTGTTTGAACGTTGTTTGGAGAAGATTCATTTAAAGCAGTGCGGAGGCGCAATGACAGTGGAGCTGCCACGAGAGGGCGATAAACATATGCAGACATGCAAAAGTATGCTAGCACTGTTGAGGTGTGAAAATGAAACCAAATGTAGACAGCTTTTTTGAAGACGGAGTCAAAAGGCTGGGATACCGGTGGGAAAGACAAATGCAGATTCAACCTAAGTCATAGTTTTAGTACAAGGCAACTTCTAGGGATGCCAGCCTCCAGGTGGGACCTGGAGACCCCTCAGAATTACAGCTCATCTCCAGACTGCAGAGATCAGGTTCCTTATAGAAAACGGATGTTATGCAGGGTGGACTCTCTGGCATTGTACCAATGTTCCCTCTAAGCTGTGGAGTCTTGTGAGTGAAAATTCTACTTTGTGAGCTCCTGGCGTTAAAGTTGTGAGCGGGCGATTTGGCTAGTGCATAAATTAGTTTGCTCTGGAGCCATCCCTTCCCGAGCGAAGACAGAAATGTGTGAGCCGGAGGCTGAAAAGCTATGAGGTAGCTCACATTAACTCAGCTTAGAGGGAACACTGTGAGCAAAAATCCTACTTTGTGAGCTCCTGGCATTAAAGTTGTGAGCGAGCGATTTGGCTGCTGCATAAATTAGTTTGCTCTGTAGCCATCCCTTCCCGAGCGAAGACAGAAATGTGTGAGCCGGAGGCTGAAAAGCTATGAGGTAGCTCACATTAACTCAGCTTAGAGGGAACACTGTGAGCAAAAATCCTACTTTGTGAGCTCCTGGCGTTAAAGTTGTGAGCGGGCGATTTGGCTAGTGCATAAATGAGTTTGCTCTGGAGCCATCCCTTCCCGAGCGAAGACAGAAATGTGTGAGCCGGAGGCTGAAAAGCTATGAGGTAGCTCACATTAACTCAGCTTAGAGGGAACACCGTGAGCAAAAATCCTACTTGGTGAGCTCCTGGCATTAAAGTTGTGAGCGAGCGATTCGGCTGCTGCATAAATTAGTTTGCTCTGGAGCCGTCCCTTCCTGAGCGAAGACAAAAATGTGTGAGCTGGAGGCTAAAGAACTGTGAACTAGCTCACACTAAGGGTGCAGTCACACGGTCCTTTTGATCAGGGTTCGCTGCTGTTCTCTCTCGCATTTAAATTTGCTGTTCAGATGGGCCAATCCGCCTCCCGTGCCGAAGCAGGCTCACTCCCGCAATGTTCCCAGTTCTCTACCGGATTTTCCTGCACTGGGAAAATCAAGTACTTTCCTGGTATTTGCGCTTGGAATCTGCGATTTCGCCCATCTGGACAGCCATCTCTCGCAATGATTGAGATTAGGGCCGTCTGACCGTTCTTCGCGCGATGAGGGTGGTGGTTTTTTTTTTACAGCTTCCGGCTTTGAGTGCTTCAGCAGTCCTACGCTTAATCCATTCTTTAAGTGTTCAAGCGCTCATCCAGCGCGGAGAAAGCTCCTGCCCCCCCCCCAGGAGTGAAGCTGCGGTGGGCAGCAGGAGGCGGAATGGACAGTTGCTGGGGGGGGAGGTGGGGGGGAGGAAGTGCCGGGCAGGCTTGCGGGCGAGCGGGCGGCATAGTGCACCCCAGGAGCCCCCAAAGCTGCGGCGTTAGGGGGGGGGAGGACCCGGCTTGCCAGCAGCGTCGAACCGGGGCTGGTCGGGCAGCAAGAGGCTGCGTGGAAAGTTGCTGGAGGTGGGCAGGAGGAAGGAAGTGCCAGACGGGCTGGCAGGCGAGCAGGCGGGCGGTGGAGAGAGAGGGGCCGGCTGCATCTAAACGGTGCCTAGTGTCACGATTGCGCTGGTGAGCCGGGCAGGGCACGGAAAGTCCAAAACACAGTCCAGGGTCAGGGCACCAGATGAGGCAGAGTAAGGTGAGCAGAGTCCAAAATACCAAGTCAAAACACAGTCTAGGGTTACCGGAGATTGCAAGCAAAGTTCAGAAGCCGAAAGCCGTTCGTCAACAGTTAGGATACACAGTCCAAGTCAGGGAGCCTGGAAAACAACGTCAGGCAAGCCAAAGTCAGGAGCCGGGGAGTCAGAACGAAAACCAGGAGACAGGAACACAAGATCCGGGGTGCAGTGATTTGTCTATGCGATTCGTTGCCAGCACAAGTTGGGAATCTGAGAGAGACGCCTGAAAAGTCTGTTCCGCTTGTTAGCCAATTACCGGCCGCTGACAGGGTCCTGGCTCCGGTCAGTACTCTGGGCTCAGAGGACGTTGACCTCGCATGCGCGCCTCCTTATGCCGGGTTGCCATGTCCCATCGCCTCTGATCATGCAAACGAGCCACCGATGTGGGGGGGGGAATCAGGAGGCGTGGTGCTTGTGCTTGGCTCTGCCAGTGCGGCTCCAGGTGTAAACTCTCCTGGTAGCTGGTGCTCATCGTCCGCAAGACTTAGGTCTGGTGATTCAAGGGGTGCCGGGAGCTCACCCTCGGACGTTGCGGGTGCAGAATCCTCGGCTTCAGGGTCTACGGCATTGTTCCCTCCAAGCTGAGTGAGTGTGAGTTAGCTCACAGTTTTTAAGCCTCCGGCTCACGCATTTTTGTCTTAGCTCAGGGAGGAGGGCTCCAGAGCACACCAATTTCTGCAGTAGCCAAATCGCTCGCTCACAACTTTCATACCAGTAGCTCACAAAGTAGGATTTTTGCTCACAAACCTTCACAGCTTAGAGGGAACATTGGTACGGGGTCGGGGTGCACTGCGGGCATGACACCTAGAGTCTCCTCGTGCAGTGCTTCCGGTTTGGGGAGGGATGTGTGATCATCCCAACACGATGAAAAATATTCCCGATTAAATTGTAGCGGTAACAAATCGCAATTGCCTTGCCGTGTGAGCACGGCCTAACTCAGCTTAGAGGGAACACTGATCGTACCTCCTCTGAAGTCCCTGTCCTCCCCCCAGGCCTCATCCCTAAATTTCCAGGAGTTTCCCAACCTGGACCGGACAACTCTGACTTCCCATCCCCAGCAGTGGCCAAGATGGACCCGGAAACCCTTGCAACTTCGTATGACCATATAACAAATACAAACTAAATAAGTCAAATGCAACCCTAATTAAAACGGTCTTCGACTGCTAGCCGAAGACCTCGGGGAAGTGGTTCCACGATCGTGTCCTGTTGTTCCTGAGCTGCGGGGGAAAATCTTTTCCCCTTGCTGAGGCAGCCCAAGAACGGCCTCACCATGAAATTGTCGGACGTTCCAGATTGGTGTTCCCTCTAAGCTGAGTTAGTGTGAGCCAGCTCACAGGTTTTTTAGCCTCCGGCGCACACCTTTTTGTCTTAGCTCAGGAAGGGAGGGCGCCAGAGCAAACTGATTCATGCAGTAGCCAAATCGCTCACTCACAACGTTAATGCCGGTAGCTCAGAAAGTAGGATTTTTGCTCACAAGACTCCACAGCTTAGAGGGGGGCATTGTTCCAGATGCCATGTCCCCCATCTCAGACCTCCAGACTGAGTGTCAAGAGAGACTAGATAGCTAGATAGGCACACTAAGCCAGTTTGCTGTCGTGGTTAAGTGCACAGACTCTAATCTGGGAGAACTGGGTTTGATTCCCCACTCCTCCACTTGCACCTGCTGGATGACCTTGGGCAAGCCCTAGTTCTGATAAGGGCTGTTCTTGAAAAAAGAGCAGTTTCTGTTAGAGCTCTCTCAGCCCCACCTACCTCCCAGGGTGTCTGTTGTGGGGAGGGGAAGGGAAAGGAGTTTGTAAGCCACTCTGAGAAACCTTTGGGTAGTGAAGGGTGGGGTATAAATCCAATCTCCTCCTCCTCCTCTTCTTCTTCTCAAGAGCCAGTTTGGTGTAGTGGTTAAGTGCATGGACTCTAATCTGGGAGAACCGGGTTTGATTCCCCACTCCTCCACTTGCACCTGGCTGGATGACCTTGGGCAAGCTGTAGCTCTGATAAGATCTGTTCTTGAAAAAAGAGCAGTTTCTGTCAAGAGCTCTCTCAGCCCCACCTACCTCACAGGGTGTCTGTTGTGGGGAGGGGAAGGGGAAGGAGTTTGTAAACTGCTCTGAGACACCTTTGGGTAGTGAAGGGCGGGGTATGAATCCAAACTCTTCTTCTTCTCTTCTTCCTGTACCTACTCTTTTGCCACTCTCCTCTTTGAAATGCAGATTGTGCTCTCAGGAATCAACTTCTCCTCCCTCCTTCTCTCCCTCTCTGGATGAAGACATGCTCTCTACCTCCACACACCAAGAGAGGGACATGCAGTCCTCTCCTGGCACCATGAGGCAGATGGGCCTCTTGCCATCTGCTTCCATCCTTTAGCTAGTAAGTTAGTACTCTATCATGTCCCTACTCTTTCCTATCCAAAGTGTACTTCTCAAATAAAGAGAGAACTATTTCTCTTCTAAATCTGCAACGTGGCTCTGTGTAGCTTTGTAAGCCGAGTAACCTGGTGAAGTGACGCTCCTGCGTTTGTAGCTTTATTTAAGCACTCTGCTAACCAGGGCTCTTTTTGTAGAAAAAGCTCAGCAGGAACTCATTAGCATAATAGGCCACCCCCCACAGCAGAAACTCATTAGCATATTGGGCCACACCCCTGACAGCACAGCTCATTAGCCCATTAGGCCGCACCCCCGTGTTACCACGTGTGGTCATCCAGCCACACCCACCTTTTGCTTCTTATTCTGTTTACCTTGTTTGTTGTCAAAACCCAGGGCCTTTTTTTGTAGCAGGAACGCCTTTGCATGTTAGGCCACACACCCCTAATTGTAGCCAATCCTAATGAGTTTCTGCTGCTGGGCGTGGCCTATTATGCTAATGAGTTCCTGCTGGGCGTGGCCAACTTGGGAGCCAGCCGGAACTCCGTTCCTGTGCGTTCCTGCCCAAAAATAGCCCTGCTGCTAACTAATGGTGTTTGGACCAGTTAACCTCAACAGAAATGGGCAGCCCCCTAACGTCTCCTTGGTGCTAGCCTCCGGGGAGGGTGGTTCTGATGGAAGGGCCTGGAAATCTTGGCTAGCTTCACCCCAGCAAGAAGGCAGCATGGATTCATTACCTATTCCGAAAGCTAGGAAGGCTTTTTGGGGGACAAAGTCGCCCTTGGCGTCAAGGAAGTGCCCAGGATTGAATTCGAAAGGCGATTCCCAGTGCTCCGGGTCAGCCATCACAGAGGCCAAGTTAGGCAGTATAAGAGTTCCCTGGAAGGAATAAAAACAAACAGACAGAACAAAAACCAGAAGCGGTTTGTCTTATACTTTTAACTTACTACTTACTGTTTTCACAACCAGAGTCATAAAACATCAAACCCTTCGCCAACAAAAATGGGGAGAGCCAGTTTGGTGTAGCAGTGAGGAGCACGGACTCTAATCTGGGAGAACCGGGTTTGATGATTCCCCCCTCCTCCACATGCAGCTGCTGGTGTGACTTTGGGTCAGTTACAAGCAATGCTCCCTCTAAGCTATGG